CGTGAACCGCGGTCGACTACGTGGGAGTCCAGCGACATAGCCATTACGCCAACTGCTGGTTCCCCAAAAATAAAATCTTAAAAAAGGAAAACAAACTCAACACGGTTACCTCTTCCCTCAGTGCGTACTGTTCGATGAGCTTCTTTAGCTTCTCCCCTAGTTCGATGTTCTCCTGCCGGAGTTTGGCATTGTGGATGTCATGCTGTTCAAGCTGCGCTTGGATTTCATTTAAAGTAATCTGGAAATGCGCAGTTGCTTCTTTACGTCGTTCTTCTTCCTCTCGTGCCTGCTGCATATTTTCCTCCTTATTAACCAAAATAATATCTGTTAACAGTTCAGACCTATGGGTAAGATATTCACATAAACCACCACCAAGACATGGTTTCATTTACTGCTGCCCTAAAGTGTTGCTTCTGAGCCACAATTCCCCTCCCTTATTCACAACCAGAAGGCTCTCCTTGAAGAAAGGCAAGCATCCTGAGCAGACAGAGTAATCAGACACACAAACTGTCCTGCTATAAAGTTAAGTGTTATGTGACCATCTAAAACTAGGCCAGCCCTATAGTGCAGCTGTTAAGCACTACTCAGAGGAAGCTGAATACCACATGGCCAACTAAATCCCTTCAAGTCCCTTCCTCATCATCTTAAAAAACATGCAGGTGGGGGCCAGCAAGTGGCATGGTAGTTAAGATTGCTGGAATCCCACATGGCTATCGTGGTTAGAGTCCCAGATCTGGCGGCTTGCTTTCTCTTTCTCTGTCCCTCTCTGGTCAAATTAAAATAAATAAATAAATAAATAAATAAATAAATAAATAAATAAATAAATAAATCCCTCCCATGGTAAACACATGTGCTTTACAGCAAATTAAAATAATAATAATAAATATGGGACCAGCAGTTGGCGTAATGGCTATGTCGCTGGACTCCCATGTAGTCAACTGTGGTTCGAGTCCTGGACCCAGTGGCTTAAACTCACTCCAGGTGTGTGTGCATGCATGCCCAAGATTCCAAGAGAAGAATGGAGGTGTCTTTCTGGTGAGTGCACGTGCCCTATAGCAAAAACCTCTCAAAAAAAAAAAAAAGAAAGAAAGAAAAGAAAAGAAAGAAAGAAGAAGAAAAAAATACAATAATTATTTTTTTGGTAGTGATTTTTGCCTTAGGGCATGTGCACTCGCTAAGGGGAGAGAGAGACGGTGAGAGGGAAAGTGAGAAATCATTCCCCAGGGGGACAGCCACACCATAATCCCTTCTCTTCCACCTTCTCTTAGAATTTTGGGCACATTGGGAACCAGCAGTTAGCATAATGGCTATGTCGCTGGACTCCCACGTAGTCGACCGCGGTTCACGTCCTGGACCCGGTGGCTTAAAACGCACACCGGGCGCGTGTGCGTGCATTCCCAAGATCCCGAGAGGAGAATGGAGGAGAAGGGATTGGGGTGTGACCATTCCCCCTGGGGGGTGATTTCTCGCTTTCTGTCTCTATGTCTCTGTCTGTCTGTCTGGCGAGCGCATGCGCCCTACAGTGAAAATCTCTCCAAAAAAAAAAAAAAAGAATTTTGGGCACATACGCACATGTGCCCAGCATGAGTTTCAAGCCTCCGGGCCTGGGACTTGAACCACGGTCGACCATGTGGAAAACCAGCGACATAACTATTACAATATCTGCTGGTACCGTAAATAATTCTTTTAAAAAAGAACACACACACACGCACACAGAGACATAAACATGTATGGCTAGCATCCAGATGGGATGGAACATTAGAAGAAAAAGGATTATGGCATGACAGGGCCCCACTGGGGATGTTTTCTTCTGTCTCTCACATACACTAGCCTTCTGGCATAAAAACGAATGAAGTAAAATTCGCCATACTAGGGACCAGCAGTTAGCGTAATGGCTATGTCGCTGGACTCCCATGTAGTTGACCGTGGTTCGCGTCCTGGACCCGGTGGCTTAAACTCACTCAGGACGCATGTGTGTGTGTGTGTGTGTGTGCGACCAAGATCCCAAGAGGAGGGGAGGTGAAGGGACTGCGGTGTGGCCATCCCCCCTGGGGGGTGATTTCTCACTTTCTGTCTCTCTCTCTCTCTCTTTCTGGCGAGCGCACGCACCCTATAGTGAAAAACCTCTCAAAAAACCAAAAAACAAAAAACAAACCTCACCATACTGAAACATAAGTAAGGGGCTTCTCCACAAACCCTGCTTCCTTCTCCCTCATTACTTAGATCAGTGTGGAGAGCACAAACCCCTCTTATAGCTTACTTTCTGGGTCACACCTTCTAGTCTCTAGCAGGCAAGGGACAAATGGAATCTTTATTTTAATAGGCTTCCTTTCTGGATGGCCCTGCAGAATAGCAGTTCAGCCCTGTGCAGAGGGAGCCAGATCTCACATAGCTGAATGCAGTTCAAATCTTAGCTCCCACAGCTTGAAAAACACACCAAGCATATATGTACATGCCCCAAATCCTAACGGGATAAAGTAAAAAGAATTGCGGCAGAACTGTTTCTCACTGGGGAGTCCTTTCTGTACCTCTCTGGTGAGGGCAAACACTCTCTGGCAATAAAAAAAATTAACGGCCCGCAGGTGGTATGGTGCTTAAGACATTGGACTCTCACATGCTAGATAGACCACGGTTTGAGTCCCAGACCTGGTGGCTTACTTTCTCACTTTCCCTCTCTCTCTGATCAAATAATAATAATGATGATGAATAAAAAATAATTCTTAAAAAAAAAAAAAAACAGCTTTCTGTGGCCAGCATGGGGTCTGGCGGTTAAGGCAGCTGAATCCCACATAGCGAAGTCTGTAGTTTGAGTCCTGGACTCAGCAGCCTGAAAACCATGCCAGGCACATGCCTCTGTGTGCCCATAATTCTGAGAGAAAAATGGAGGAGGGATTATAGCATGACCATCCACCTTGGGGGAATGATTTCTCACTTTTCCTCTCTTCCTCTCTCTCTCCAGCAAACACACACACCCTATAGCAAAAACCTAAAAAATAGTTTGAAAAAAAGCCTTACATGGGGGCCAGCAGGTGGCGTGGTAGATAAGGCGCTAATTCTCACATGGCTGACGGTAGGTTCGAGTGCCAGACCTGGGGTCTTGAAAATCACACTGGGCACATGTGTATATGTGCCTAAAATCTTGAGAGGACAATGGAGTGACTGTGGTGTAGCCATTGCTGCCTGAGAGATGCTTCCTCACTTTCCCTCTGTGTTCCCAGTGTGTGCATGCACCCTATGGGTAAAACCTTAAAAAAAGAAAAAAAGTAAGGACTGACATAGCTAATCAATTATCAGTCTACTCAAAATAATGAGTTGCTATGAGAAAAAGTTCTCCCTGTTTTTGGGCTGCCCTGCCTATGGGGTAGCCTTCTACCTTTCTCTTCGGGTAATAATTCTCTTTTACTTGGAGGAACAGCACTGTTCACCCACCTCCTCTCATGTGGCTCCTCCACTTTCCTTAATAAATTTGCTTTTACTGTCAAAAACAAAACAAAATTAAAACTCCCTATTTTTTTTAAGGTTTTATTTATTTATTATGATTTTCACATGTGTTTTGCCAGAGAAAGATGGGGGGCGGGGGTGGGGTCTGGGCAAGCAAGCCACAAGGTCTGGGACTCGAACAGCAGTCAGTCACGAGGAAATTCCAGCACCTTAACCACCACGCCACCTGCCAGGCCCCAGATCTCCCTATTTTAACTAAGATGTAAATCCATGGATTCAAAAATGAAGAACAAAATAATGGCTCCACTTTAGGCAGAGATTGATATCATAAGTACACATATACTCAGGTCTGGGGGTTTGTTAGGGTAGGGTGGAGGGTATTTGATCGAAGATCCTCCTGCTAAGTCATACTGCAACTGTACACACCCAGGACCAGCCTGCCCACCGTGAGAGACAGACTCCTGCCCATGGCTCTGTTCTCTTTCCCTCTTTCTCTATTGATACCCGTTCATCTTTGGGGACCTGCTGCCTTGCTTTCTTTATGATCAGCCAAAGTGTAAGTGCTATTCTAAAAGTACTTTAGCACTCAAGTAGCAGTGGGTGGGCCAGGAGCCTTGGGCAATGCAGCCTGAACATCTGCCCAAGCAGCTCAGCAGGGTTCTATTCCTCAGACTCTATCTGATTCAAGTCTGCTACCAGTTTCTCAGTTCATGACAGCCTTCCCTCCATGGTGACCAGCTACATCAGCATTCAGCAGAAAATGAGCAACTTGAAGCTTCATAGGCCATGGTTCTAAGCAGGAGAACCATGGGCATAAACATCAACCCTGTTTGGCCAGCAGGTGACGTAGTGGTTAAGCTGCTGGACTTCCACATGGCCAACTGTGGTTTGAGTCCCAGACCTGGCAGCTTGCTTTCTCACTTTTCCTTTTTCTCTGTCTCCCTTTGGTCAAATTAAAAAATAGTAATAATACTAGAGGGCCAGCAGGTGGTGTAGTGATTAACACGCTAGACTCTCCCACATGGCTGACCACAGTTTGAGTCCCGGACCTGGCGGCTTGCTTTTTCATTCTCTCTTGCTCTTTCTCTCTCATGAGTGCACGTGCCCTGCAGCAAATTAAAAAAAAAAAAAAAAGAAAAGAAAAATAGTGATAAATAAAAGTCAAATAAATAATTAAAATAATAATTAAATTAATTCTTAAAAAAAATAATAAAAACACATCAACTCTGTCTAGGTTCCCTGTAACCAGCCAGGAGGTGAACCAAGGAGCTCTTCCTTGGACAGGGAACCAACACTCCCATAGAAAGAGCTGGTCTTGCATTATGAAACCCCTTGTCTGGGTTATCAACCCAGGTAAAACAGAAGGCATGGCAGTATCTCTCTCCAAGGAGAAACAAAGATGTATTTCAAGTTGCTATAAGGGATTATAAACCACCTAAATAAGTCCTAAAAACCAGAAAAATGAACCAACTAACCTTTAATGTCTTATTGTGACGTTGAAGTTAAGAGCTGGTCTTTCATTATGAAACCCCTTGTCTGGGTTATCAACCCAGGTAAAACAGAAGGCATGGCAGTATCTCTCTCCAAGGAGAAACAAAGATGTATTTCAAGTTGCTATAAGGGATTATAAACCACCTAAATAAGTCCTAAAAACCAGAAAAATGAACCAACTAACCTTTAATGTCTTATTGTGACGTTGAAGTTCCCTGCAAAGAGACTCGAGTTTGCTTCTTGCCAAGATAGCCTTGCTGTGTTCACTCTGCAAGTGAACCTTCTCTTTCACGATCTGGGCTTGCTTCTTCTGCAGAACCTTCATTTGCTTCTGAA